TTTTTTTTACGTACGAATTTAAATTCTCTTAATTCGAACAGTCGGCAATTATTTCCCCGATCATAAATTCTGGGACGTTCATCGAAATTGTTCATTGAACGACGCTCTGTGGTGCGTCTTGAAGTGAAATTCCGAACAATTGAATTGTTTAAATAAAATAAAACAAATTGCGCAAAACTGTTTTTTCGTTGAATAAATAAATGCAACGTAGGACGTAGGCAGACACTTGAAGGTGCTGGAATTTTTGCGAGATCGCGAAATGAAATTAAAGAAATGCGTCAGACGCCCACTTTCAGGGTGCGAGAAAACAAAAAGTGACTCGGGATTAAATGTCTGTTCTCAACAGGGCGTTCTGTGTGTGCGAGGGTCATTTAACACACATTTAAAATCTTGGTCGCAGAAATTCAATATGTCTCGCATTTGTTTTGAGAGCCGCGGACACGCAGGCACTTGATATTCATTATTTTACCGGTCGAACACTTTTGTTTTTTTTTTTTTTTTTTTTGTTTTTTTTTATCGAATCACACACATCGATACAAGTCGCGAGTGTTGAACAACACTCGTAAATAATGTAACAAAATTATATATTTACACAAAACAATATGTATAACGTAAATAATAAATAAACGTCACTCGTCCAACTTTCGTGCGGTCGAATCGCACGCACGATATCGAGTATTAAATAATACCCGCAAACACAACGTGCGTTACGTAACGAAGATAATGTAATTTTTTTTTAAGTAACGCTCACAATAAGTGACCTTGTCGGGTCACTCGAGACCCGCAGATTAACGGTTCATTTTTTTTAATTAGTTGTAACAACCGCGAGAGATATTGTCGCTTCTTACGATTAACAGTTGTTTGTAATTTCGTCTGGAAAAAAAAACAACAAGCACGATGCGCGTGAGACTGACTTAATTTTAGAAGCGTCTTATTTTTTTTTTTTTTTTTTGAAATCTCTCTCTTTTTCCGAAGCATATTATTCCCGCGGAGAGACCGCGGGCACTTTGCGCGTTGGATTTTTACATTAGTATGTATTCCGCGTAATGACGTCTTTCAGCGAGAAACGAAGTTGTCTTCGCGACCAACGTCGATACTCTACGCGCGTAGAAGCGTAGAAGAGAGAGAAAGACGTGTGTTGAGAGATATGAAACGTTTTTTATAAACACACGGCGAGATAAGAAGTTTCCGCGTTGCGACGAGAGAGACTGGAAATCGCGACCGCGCGAAATTGCGAAATTCGGAAACGTCTCTTTTAATCGTTTAGATTTTCTCCCCGCGCGCGCGCGTATATCTCGTTATACCAACGCGGCTGTTGCGTTACGCACTCGTCTCGTAAATTTCCATCGCCATCTTAAATCGCCATCTTTGCTTCTTTGTTATTTTGCTCAACATTTTGTTTTAATTGAACATCGACGAGTGTAAAAAAATTTAACGCAAACCTCGAATATCAATCGCGCGAGAATGTGCGAGTCTGGATCCGAGAGAATTACGTTCCGCAATCGTCGCGCCGCGTCGAGGAGATTCGCGCGCTATCTCGGAGTTACCTAACAACACAGTTGCGCTCGCACGAGGATGCACTTTCGGACGACGTCACGATGAGCGTCCGATACGATGCGACCGGCCGGCGCTCGTCGTGCCAAGTAAAAATAAAACGCGGCTGGCAATTCCGTTCACGCAACACGCGCGTTACCTAAGAACAGCGCGCGTGGACCAGGTGATTCAGCGCGACCGCGTGGTTGTAAAAAAAAAAAAAATTAAATGCAAAAAACTGGAACGCAACGTGGTCGCAACGCGTCGGATCGATGCGCGTACACACACGGCCACGGTGTGTAATATCGGACGGGTTGTAATCGCGTTTGACACGCCGGGAGGAGGGGACCACAGGTGTCCGAAAGTGAGACGCGCCGAGCTTACATCCGTGGATTTTCTTCTCTCTCTCGAAAAGATTAGTCTCTCTCGCGGAGATAAAAAAAAAAAAAAAAAAAAGAACAAGCTCGATCGAGAAAATTTTTTCCCTTTAGCTGCTACTTCGACTATTTTCTTCGCTCGAGTCTCGCAATTACAGCTCGAGTTTACTCCGACTTTGGAAATTGTCTCGTTTCTTTTGTTCAAATTTTGACTTGTTAAACTCGGATCAGAAAATTACAAGACGTTCAAGAGAGAGAGAGAGAGAGAGAGAGAGAGAGAGAGAGAGAGAGAGAGAGAGAGAGAGTTTACGCTCGTCAACGCTGTTTTGTTTTTTTTTTTTTTTTTTTAATTTTGTTAAACGACTGAATGACTGATTAAATGTTGCGCGCGCGAGCACGTGCGAGAATGACACGCGGTATTTGTGGGAATTACGCACGAAAGCGTAAATTATTACAGAAGACTGGTGTGCAATTATTAATTATGAGTTGCATGTGTATGTGTGTGCGCGCGCGCTAGACGCAAATAAACTATATCGATAGAGGATTGCAGGATTTCTCGCTTTTCTCAGGTTGAAACATTTGCATGTTCTATGCATAAGATTGTAAATCATCGAATCGCCAGTGATTTATGTGGAACGATCGTTCGAGATAAAGTAACTTTTCTCCATATCCGTTGGCGATGCACACACACACACGTGTAAGTAGAATATATAGTCTGTGAAAATTTTACAAATTATCACATCTCGGAGGTGATTCATTAAGAGAAAATTGATGAGTGTCTGTGTTATCAAGTTCTTCAATTTTCAAGAAAAAATAACATTTTTACTATACTTTTATTTACACACACTAAAATATATTGTGTAATCAATATAATATATATTTTGAGTCATCAAGTGTGAAAAACTTGACAAATATATAAATAAATATAAGTTTTGTTTTTATATAAATATATATTGTATACATTATACTTGTATTTATATATATATATATATTTGTTGATTGACAAATACACTTGACACTTATTAATATATTTATAAAAAAAAATTATATTAAAATCAAATTTTGCACTTAATGATTCAAAAATACACATATAGACAAGATATGTGTAAAACGCGGATGTAAAAAAACTTCGCTTCTAAGATTTTTTTTCTTTTCTTTTTTAATGCCGACCAATTATCTCAAGCCAGTCATTCGCGGACGTTCGGCGTGATGAAATTCTGCCAGACGCAGGTTGAAAAACACTGATCAGATCGCGCACGCACCGCCTATTACGTATCTCTCTTTCTCTCTCTCTCTCTCTCTCTGTTTCTCACGCGGATGCGAGCGTCGAACGTAATTCACGTGTTACCTAAGAATCTATATAAAAGCAAAGTGCATCGCTGCGAGACTCGCAATAGCGGGAATACACGTGCATGCATTACTTAGTGCATATGCGCGCGCGGAGTGTCTTCGTAAAACTTGAGACACGCCACGCATACACACACACACACACGCACACACAAGCAACGCGCACCGCAAGACCGAAGAAGATGCAAAGGAATATAAGAAGTATATACATTGCGCAGCGCGTGTGCATAAGAGCTAACCGGCATGAAAATAAACATACTCGGAAAAAGAAAACAAATCGAGTGCCTTACGTGTCTGTTAAGTGATCTAGAAAGAGACTATCGATACATAGTTGTCAAATAACTTTCAGCTCCTGGAAAATACGGTCTCGAGATGAGTTTTTCTTTTTTTCTTTTTTTTTTTTTTTACAGAGAGATAAAATTCCGGTTTAACGAAGTTAAAATTATCTGACCTGTTGACACGCGCCGATATTGATAAACAATTTAGAGCAAATCGTTGTTTCTTCTAAAACAACTTATTGAAATAATTCAATTTTATGGAAGCAAAAAGTTGCTTTTTTTTTGTAAGCAGGCAGTCGGGTTATTTCAAATTAATTTGTCACACATCTTTAAATAACATCAAAAATGTTATTTAAAGATGTGTGACAAATTAATAAATAATTAACAATGTGGAGAACAAATATAACGATAATCATGACAGTTCGGAACGTCGGTTTTTCTTTCGAGAACTCATTAAGTACTTAATCTAATTTTATTGTAAAAAAACAAAAAAAACTTTCTTTTCAAGATGAAAGCGGTCGATCGATTGTTTCAAATTCTATTCTCAATTAGGGTCAAATTATCGGGCTTTCAAAGAATAGAAAATGTTTCCCGGTCACGTCAACTTCACGGGGGGAATCTCCTATAAAACATTAGGCTCGCGAAGAAGTCGATCCGTCATCCGTCGGACAGGCGAAGGAGCAGCCGCCACGCTACACATTCGCGTCATATATCCGCGTCGAAAATAATAATTAGCTACATAACCGCGCGCTACGTAAGACGCGTCGATACATTGTGCGTGCGATATATACTTTCACGCATCTCCCTCTTCTATCGCGAAATGTCTCTTCCTCTTGGTCACCGTCTTTTTTCTTATTTTTTTTTTTTTTTTTTTTTT